ACGGGCAAGAGAATCGTAATTTGCCGCTCCGCCGCGCGCGGCGATGGGCGCGGCGTTTTCTTAACTCGTATTAACCTGTCGATTGGAGCACCGAACTTCATGTAGACCCCGTCATTGTAGACATTCATGACCATTTTCGGTTTTTGCCTGTTGTCGCCATCTACTACCTGTAACCATCGTCATTTGCGGGCGCGACGTCGCACGCGACGCCCACAGCGCGGCGAATTACGATTCTCTTGTCACATACCCATAATTCTTCCTTTTGCTGTTTTCGCGCCTTCTGAACCTTCTCGCTGACTTTGAAATTTTTTTGCTTCAGGAAGGAAACAACTGGTTCTCGGGAAAGTTTGATCAGTCATGATACCAGCAAAGCTAAGAGATCGCCGATTCGAAAAAGTACGTTTTACTCCTACCCAGCTTGCTCCTTTCACTTTATGACTTATCCCGAAAATATGAATCTCTTTCACCAAGTTGACGAGAAGACGAAGTTCCACGTCCTGCGTGGGATCCCAGCGAGAGGAGGAAATCGTTTTTGCTGTTTAGAAGAATGTTCAGTCGTTAAGCTCTCACGGTGTCTCCTGGAGTTTCGCTTTATACCCCTTCCACAGCAGTTTTTTTGGATAAGTGAAGAATTTTCGGCAAAAAAATTCCGGGGAACTGTAAAAAGTTCAGGGAAACTTAGGAGAAAGGTGGAACAGAGAGTAGTACCAGAGGAAGAACTGTTGAGGTGGGGAGCCGTTCTTTGCTAAAATTTTGCCCAAGGCGGGACTCTCCCTGATTCCGAGGGTATAGGTCGTTACATTCATGGTGCGAATACCGCATAAACGATCCGTGTATATCCCTCCTAGTTCACCCGACATGTCGCAGCGTCACCAAGTAAATCGAATGTATCCTGGTGTGAATGCCGCACACGTGACGTCTTCAAAAGGCAAACCACATTGTGGAAACACTCTTTGGAATACCGCTGTCCCTGTGCACTGGAGAACCAGAAGCGTACAACGTGCACTACATACTTGTAGCGTCTCTCTATCCACAGCGTAAGTCCCAAAGCCGCATTTCACGGACGAAGTATGAGTTGTAAAAGAGCATCCGCCCATTTTCGTAATTTTATGGTCTGACATGGCGGCGGTCAGTCTAAGTTATTCGTGGTCGCTTGTTTTTGCGCTTTTCACTCCTAACACAACAAGTTCTACTTTATTCAGAGCAACTATCCTCATCGAATGATGTCATATCCGAGGTAAACCATACGACTACACCAACAGTTGCTGATGAGGCGAACTGAGACGAATCTTTTCGAATTGGAAGATGAAAGGTATGATTGGTGACAAAAGAACGCAAATTCAGGCATTGGTATATCCACGGGCTGAGGCGTGTCAGCTGTGAATGCAGCGGTGATAGACCGTTGCGAGCCCACGCCTGATCCCAGATAAAGCCCTCGTATGCGTGCGAGACTGCTACAGAGTGAAGAAACTTCAACGCAGCTCTACCCTTCTCATATTTATCCTGCGACTAGCTCTGTATGCAATCATGATCCCTACAAACGATGTGGGGGCGTGGATTGGAGCCAGGGTGCGGTATATTTGAAACACATAGGGTCGTACTTTTCCGCTGGGGAGGGGCTCGTACTTGGTTGTTGAGAGAGGAGGAGTTGTAAGCGGCTTTGAGAGAATGCTGCTTTGAGAAAAAATTTTCCCCGGTTGTTGACTTTTGCGGTTTTTCCAGTTTCACACGTAAATTGATGGTTATATACCCTCTCCTCCCTCCCTTCGGGCACAAGTTTACTGGGGAATCCCCAATAGGGGGATCGTATTTGGCCGTCAGGAGAGGGACTTCGAGGTCATGCGGCCCTCTACGAATCTGCTTTCACAGTTCGTTCCATCAGTTTACTGCTGACATGCTGATCAGTATTTGAAGGCGTTACTATTTTAGCCAACTCGACTACAACGCGGTCTTTGGCTCACGGCCGAAAGTGGCTCGAACTCCTGATGGTCCCAATCGTCGTGGCAATTTTTCTCGCTGAACCGCATCTTGCTCGACCACTATCCCGTGCTATGATGCCATTTCTTACTATGATGCCAAGTTTCTATTTTTTTTGTATTTTCCTTTCTCACAGCTATTGTTTCTTCATTGTTGATGCTGCTTGGTGCGTAATAAATCCTACCGACGTGTTTTGAAGTTGTTCATTATTCGAGAATTTCTAAAGTGTCAAAAGGAAACCTAGGTCGG